CCAGCCTACATTTCCCGCTTCATAGACACAGACAGGCACACGAATGTGTGTGAACATGTACACACACACACACACACACACACACACACACACACACACACACACACCACCCTCCATTCTCAATCCACCAGGTCCAGGCGCCAGGGATGGGAATGTGAAGGGTTTGGAGGGTCACTTGGGAACAAACAGGCTTGCTTCCAAAGACTTCGGCTTTAGTGGTCACACACCCACACACCCACTTCCCATTTCCCACCTATTTTGTTTTCAGCTTTTAGAGTGACTAACAGCCCGATTGGTCATCACTCTTGGGCCAAGTTCTAGGCATCCCTGGGACCTGTGTTGAGAGCATCGCTGGCCTGGCTTACGTTGGCAGCAGAACCCCGATATCCAACTCCTCTTGATTGTCCTCAGAGCCTAGCAAAGCAGAACACAGTGACCTTACAGGAACTGGATAGAATAATCTGTCTGCATGATCTCATAAAACACAGCAGGGGGCCAGTGTAGGTTTAATTTTTATTGTACCTCACAAAAGAGTTGGATTGTGTTAAATGGAAAAAGCCAGTAACCATGTGTTGTTCACAGAAGCCCAGATTAGGGGATCCCAGAGCTACTGCTAAGGCTCAGAGGCTGAAATCCTCATGGAAGGGGAGGGGCTCAAGCATCAGGAGAAGCGGACAGAAATAGAAGGCAGTGAAGCTTGTACACCCCGTTGTCTCGTGTCTTAGTTTTCCTTCCTGTTATGATAAAATACCCCAGTAAAGGCAATTTAAAGGAGAAAAGGCTTAACTCAGTTTGAGATTACAGCCCGTCACAATGGTAGTTCCAGAGGCAGCAGCTCATAACACTTCTGCTTCCATAATTAAAACAGAGAGCAAAGAACGTGTGTGTTACCGTTCAGCTCCCTCTACGTATGCTGTCCAAGATCTGGGTCATGGAACGCTCACACACCCAGAGTGGGCAGAACTTCCCATCTGAGGCAACAGGTGTGTCCAGAGGTGTCTATCAGGTGAGTCTGAACACCTGTGAAACACTCTCTGCAGGTATGTGGTGGGATGCCAATGGGCCTGAATTGTCTCTGGGGAACAGAGTTCTTCCCGTGGATGATAGATGTGGTGATGGACCAATAGGATAAACCAAGAGAGTGGATTCCCCAGCATGGCCCACTGGGATATGAGTTGGCTTCTTCTATGCTACTATCATATGAACATACCTGTTGTTGTACTTTCGGTCTGCTTAGCCCTGGTTGATCTAGAACTATGTAGACCAGGCTAGCCTCTGTCTCCTGAGTGCTGGGATAAAGGTTTGCTCCATCACTTCTCACCAGTTGTTTCTTTTAAAGTGTGCGTGTGTGTGCACACACATGTGTGCATGCATGTGTACATTTGTGTGTGCATGTGTGTGTGCGTGGTTGGAGGACGCGTTGCAGAATCAGCTCTCTCCACCATAGTTTCCCCGGGTAGAACTCAAGTTGTCAGATTTGTTGGCAAGTTCCTTTATACACGGAGCCATCTCACTGGCCCAATCCCTTTTCTAGAGTGGAATCCTGTCTGTGGTGCCGGGGCATGGGATGCCCTGCAAGCTTTCCTCTGTGAGAACATTTCTCCAGGATCGAACAGCCCCTTGCAAAGGCTGCTGCCCAGAGCTGTAACCTTGCTGTCAGGCCAGCTGGGGCAGCGCTAGCTGCCTCACTGCCCTTCCCTAATCTTGCCTTTCTCTTTAAAGCGAGGTCCAATATTCTCTCTCATAGCTCATTAGGGGTTTTCAAGTACCAATTTAGATTTTTTGTGTCTCTTAAGCAGCTGAGCCTGGAGAAAGGGAGTAGCTGTGTGGTCATTTGTGATGATTTGAATAAAAATGGGCCCCATAGACTCAGAGGGAGTGGCATTATTGGAGGTGTGGCCTTGTTGGTGGAAGTGCGTCACTGGGGTGGATTTGGAGCTTTCAGATGCCCAAGCCAGGCCCAGTGTCTCTTCCTGCTGCCTGCCAATCCAGATGTAGCCTGCACAGATCCTTCTGCAGCGCATCTTTCTACACGCTGCCTTGCTCCCTGCCGTGAAGATAATGGACTAAACCTCCAAAACTGTATTTAATCCAGCCCCAATTAAATGTTTTCCTCTCTAAGACTTGCAATGGTCATGCTGTCTTTTCACTAGAAATCCTAAGGCCTCACTGATCCAGTGTCAAGCGAGGCATCCTCGGAGAACTTTGGGGTTCAGGTTACAGACAGGAATAACGGTTATCTCATTTTTCATTTTCACTTCTCTTTGGCTTAGAGGTCTAAAGACATCAAGGTTGAATCATCATAGGCCAAAACAAAGAACACTAAAGCCAGACTTCAAACCCAAGCCTGTCTCTCCAGTCATACACTTAACCATAGGACACTCAGAACTTATCATATATGTCGTCATACTGCCATCAGAAGTGTTAGCATGGGATCCTAACCGCGTGCAGGTGAAGTCCCAAGACTCCCAGGAGGCTGTGGTAAAAGTGCCCCATGTGGCAAAGGCCATCCAGAACAGGAGAAAGCCATAAACGCAGCTGCAAAGGTTCTTCGCTTTTCATTTGGGCAAAGCGTTTATTGACTATTCTGGGCATAGATCAAACTGCATACATTTTGCCAACCCTTTCCTTGACCGTTTCAGAAAGGAGCACGTGGTTTGATCAGCTGAGACTGGTTACAAACCACTCAGGGCTGGTTTCTAAGACTTGTCTTGTTTCATTGTTTGTTTTGTTAATAGTTGATTGTGTTTACAGAGGGGGGGGGCTAAAAAGACACACACACCAGTGTTACAAAACCTTGTATTAATCATTTCCCTTCGCTCTCAATATAACCATAGGAAATATAGCCGTGAGTCTTAATTCCGGAGAGGAAATGAATAATAAATACACGGTAGCAAGTTTAGACCACGAGGGTGTTGTCACCGTAACAACAGTTGGAAACTGTACACTTGCAAAGAACAGCATCACCAACCAATAGGATATCTGTATATCAGTAAAGCTTTTACATGTAACAAACATGCTCTTTCCATATATGACAAATTTTAAAAATATGCATTGCTTGGCAACATGAACTAGGCAAAAATATTTCTTTGTTCACTAATTTTATACAGGAAAACAGGACAAAAGGCATGCATGTACAATACAGATGCCTGCACAGGGCATGCGACGCAAGAAAGCCTTTTGAAGGTCAGCTTACGTTAGGCATAAATACGTGAGGGTTATATATTAATAAAGGAGGAAGTCTTCTGTTTGCCATTACTAACATTCCTGCTTTCTTCTTGCTCTTCCCAGAGGGATACACATTCACCTTTAAGTCAAGATAAAGGAATTAAAAAAAAAAGTCACTTTGCAAACATCTCTGATGAGTTGTAAAAAAGAAAAAAAAAACCAACATTAGTGTTATCACAGCTCCGGGTACAACTTATCCTTCTGCAGGTTCTGTTTGTAATAGGCACACCTGAGTACCCTGGGCAGGATGCTTCCCCAACTCAGGCTGCAGTGGAAAGACATCCTACGGAACCCACTTTCCGCTCTTCTCTAGCTCAGCCCAGGCTCTGGGGTGCACACATCTACAAACTTTGCATCAGCACTAGCTACAAGAGGCACAGAAGAACAAAAGGCCCGGAGGAGACTCCCATCCTGTAAAAGGCAGCCGGCGACACCTCAAAAGAAAATCTGGTTTCCTCAGTGTCGCCTCGGAAGGATGGGAGGTGAGGCCCAGCCGCAGCTCCCATCCCGGGTAGCAGAGAAAGACCTTCAGTTCAACCCAGGATTGAGAGCTTGGTGCAAACAGCAGCCCTTGGCAGGCAGACCCAGCAGCATCTACTCTGCTCACTGGGTTTGTGTTTTAAAAAGTGAAACCCAAAAGCGTGTAGCTGGGAGGGAGAAAAAAAAAAAAAACAAACAGAAAAATAAAAACCATCAGCAGCAATGTTTCGTGTCTTGTACACAGTTCGTGTGTTTCTTCCTACTGTTTTCTGGTAAGAAAATACTATGAGTAAAAAGCACCAATAAAACATCACCCATGATATTGTAAAACAGCACTGTGCCTCAGACAGCGCAGCGACACACTGCTTAAATCAGAGCAAGGTGGGGGGGGGGCTATGCAGTGAAATAGATTTTATTCTGAAAGTTTCAAACCTTTACTATTTAATATAAAACAGCTGCGTGGGGGTGTCAATGGGTAAATACAAAAAAAGGCACTGCAGCTTATCCCGACAGGTCCAACCTCACAGTCCCAGGCACGCGACTGTTGCGGTCTTTTTATAAATAAGATTTTTTTTTTTTGCTTTAGGATTTTTAAATTGAGCTGTATACCTGCAGTCAACACAGGACTCAAAACTAGGTGGGGAGAGGCTCTCAAAATCATCAGAAAACTTAAAAAAAATGAAAACATTAACATAGCAAACCACAACTAAGTAGATAAATCTATACAGTCGATGAAAAATAAGCTTTTCTTTTTCTTTTTTAAAAAGAATTATGTTGTTACTAATAACAGACTTTATCATGGTTACCAGCCATAGCGAGTTAATAAGTAACATATCCAAAATAATATCTCTAATAATCAGATAACCATTGTTTCTATATTCAATGAAGGAATAAATAGAAATTCAGATTTGCAAATACTCTATGGTCTTCTTTGTAAAAGGTTCACGCTCATGCGATTGTGGTCGCAGTCTGGTTTCCGAGTAGCCTGTGTCCTTATGGATACGTGGCAGATCCGAACCCCTTTTCCTTTCTACGAGACGAGGAATCCCATTGTTCCTCTCTGTTTATCTCCTCAACCTTCCTCCAAACACATCCTCAGACCCTCTGGCCTTACCTTTGGCCTTCGACATTTTGAGCTATTCTGCCTTACATGTGATCCTCCATCCCAGCTCCTTCCCCAACATTGACATTGTATGGAAAAGGGACATGAGGGATGAGTGTTAATGGCACTTGGTTAAAAAATTTA